AAGGTGGATAAAAGGTTCATTATCACTCAGTTATGTCTCGTTTAATGCGTCATATGTCACCTGCGAATGGGGCTTTTTCGCATGAGAACTCATCTTGGTTCGAATCAGTCGAACTTGCAAGAGATCCATGACCTGCAAAATGAAACTTTCGAGACAAAGAATAAATCAACCTGCTTTGGTATCGATTTTTATGAACAAGGTTATCACAAACACATTCACATGACAAACAAGCTGTAATGCATCAAACATTGCAAAATCTGAGAATTTCTGGTCAAGTTCGATATATTGATGCCCAACACATAAGATTTCTAAATCAAGATGATGTTAAGGCTCACTCACAGGTAATCTAATCTGGTTTTCTATCAACAAGAACCAACAATCCAGATTTGCAAAGCTGAATCAAAGATCTCCAAATTTCGATTTTCGAAAATTTCAAATCTCTATGGTCTAAGTGTTTAATCATGAAATTAAACTACCCAGTAGTCTAGTCTTAAGTTCAAAGACAATCTCCAATCATCCTAAGGTGAATTTTTACTCATTCTAAGAAAGCCCTAAATTTTAGTTCTTAAGAAAAAGTGAGAAATTTGGTACCATACCTTGATGAAAATGTTATGTGATGATACATTTGGAATCTCCTTTGAAAAAGAGTGAGAAAAGTTCAAAAATTTGAAGCTAGTTTGTCAAGTTTGAAATCTGGTCGTTTTCTCAAAATCTCCAAGCTTGTTGGAGAAGATAAAGAGAAAGACATTTTTGATCTTTTAAATCCTCTTTTTCTTTCAAAAAAGGTGTTTTTCCTAAGAAAAATTTATTTTTAAAAGTTTAGAAGACTTACCTTGGCGTGTTTAACACGAAAATTATGTTTCGGGAACTTCCCAGTTCAATCTCAGAATAAATCGGGATTTTGAAATTCTGGTTCGTGGAAAATTGGGAAAATAAACCTGGGAGCAAAACCAAGCCCGGCCGCGGGTCAAGTGTGCACGGCCGCGGCAAATGATGGTCCGTCGGGTGAGGTGTGTGGACTGCGGCGGAGAAGAGCTTGGCCGCGGCTGGATTGATCGCGGCCGCGGCAAATGCTTCCCGGGTGTTCCCGGTTTCTCCTTTTTCTGTTTCTTCCTCCTATCTTTTTGTATTTTCTGGTTTTTTTGAATATTTTTGGGTTTTTCTGGGTTTTATGAAAGCCTGAAATGCATAAAAAGAAAAGAAAAAGATCAAATAGAAAAGAAATAAAAAGAAAATAAAAACATACCAAATGGGTTGCCTCCCATCAAGCGCTTTTGTTTAAAGTTTTTTAGCTAGACTGTTGGCAGGATTAGGATTAAGAAAAAGAAGTAGGATTTCTTGAAGTAAGAGTCCTTGGGATTCTCATTAGTCTGAACTTTGGATCTCCGTCATCTTGAATCACAATTTCCTTTCCTTTCTTAAAGATTTTTGCATCCTTGAAGACATGTTTTGTCTTCTCAACAATTTTTTCAAGATTTTCCTCTTTCTCCTTGATGATGTCTGGTGGCACCACTATCTTGATCTTCTCAAATTTCCTGGATGCAAGTGCTTTTAGTTCCTTTTTGTCATCTAACATCCTCTCTTTGCTCTTATCCTTGCGGTTTGGAGCTTGATCTGGTGTGGTTTTATAGAACTTCTTCCTGTCCACATTTAAAAAAAAACTAAACAGCGATTTACATGGTCAATAACAACACCTACAGTAGCCAAGAATGGGCGACCAAATATCAAGGGTCTTTCTTTGTCTTTGTCCATCTCGAAGACTTGGAAATCGGCTGGGATAATTTTGTTTCCAATGACCAGTGGCAAGTCCTGGATCATTCCTTCTATCCTCTTTTAGGATAAATCACCAAAGATTATCCTGACTAGAGATGAGACAAATGTTCCTATACCAAGTTTCTCAGCAACAGATTTTGATATAACATTCACAATAGAACCAGAATCACATAAACAATCTGAAAATTCAATTCCAAATATTGAACAAGTGAAAGAAAAACGCCCTGGATCCTTAGACTTTTTGAGTCTTTGGTCAGGCAAGCGTTTGGGTACCTTAACCGGAATGACTTGGCTCCTCCATGCTCGGTTTTAGAGTCCTTCATGAGAGGTTCAGGTGTCGAATTTTCCTTAGAGTCTGCAACACGTTCTTCTTCCAAAACTGCTGTCATAGCATTACAAAACTTCTTTGGGATAACTCTTCCTGGTAAGACTCCTGTTTGTCTCTTCATTGAATCTGCAGTCTGACCTATCTGATGTTCCAACTTCTTGACATGGGTTGCAAGAGATTCATACTTCCCATTCAAGTCATTTTACATACAATCGATCCTCACTCCCATTTTCCTGATTGACTTCTCATTGCCTTGAGTTGTCTGCATCATAGTTTGTTCAAGCAATTTTACCTGGTTGCTTAGCTGGGAAAGGGTTGTAATGAGCTGGTCTGTGCTTGTTGAGGGTTGAAAGGTGGTCTTTGTTGGAAATTTCCTCCTCCATTGTTCCTATTTTGAAATTTGTTTTGGAAATTTCTTTGCTGCTGCAGATAGGGCTGATTCTCGGCTCCTTGATTTCTGTATGAGAGATTGTTTAAGTTGGCACCAGCATTTCTGAAGTTGTTGTTGAACGCTGGACTGAATCGGTTATGGTATGCTTGAGCTCCCATGAAATTCATTTCTTCTTCTTGGTACATGCCATCTTCTTCATATCTTCCATCTTCTTCATTTCCTGCAGCAGTATCACAAGCATGTATATTCTTATTTTGAGACTTAAGAAGTTGACTTACCATGCTTTTTGGCTCAGCAATCTCCCTTGATTCATGACTAGTGATAGTCTTCTTTGATCTGTCACACTCAGGGTTGTTGTTGCTGTTAGCTACAACTAGATTTTTGATGAGTGCTCTCCCTTATAGTATGGTTTTCGAACTGAAATCTCCATTGCTGGCAGTGTCAAGAGAAAGTTGATACTTTTGCTGTAGTCCTCTGTAGAAGGTGCTTAGCAGGTTTGCTCCAGAGAAACACTGATTAGGGCAGTCTCTCTCATACTCTTTGAATCGCTCCCAGACTTTGTGTGAGCCAAAACCCGCATAACCAAAAATTTGTTAAGGAAAACTTAAGGGATCAGAAACTTCTAGGGTTTATCGCAAGAACAGTAAGATTGAAAGAAAGTTTTTATTGCTGAGAAAGTGTTTTTCTTTTATTGCTTAGGGTTGCAAGAGTTACATAATGAATCGTAGGAATCTCTTATTTATACTAACTTCTTAAACCGCCTCTCCGAGAATCTCGGGAGAGATTTTAGGCATATTTTCCTTATCGCTTCGTGCGACCACCATCATAATACTTCGCCTAGGACTTCTGTGGGCTTTTGACTTCCAAAGCCCATGTTCGGCCCATCTTGGAAAACCGGCTCGGCCCAACACCTAGGGAAACGATTTGGCCCATGCCTCTTCTTGTGCTGCTAAGCCCGCTCGCCGTTCTTCTCACAGCTCGGCCCATCTAACCTTCTCCACGGCTCGGCCCATTCGCCACTCGAGTTGAGATATGACTTGGTCCACCTCGCCGAGGCGCGGCTCGGCCCAAGCGTATTGAAGCGTGTCTTGGTCTAGCTTACCGAGGCGCGGCTCGGCCCAACTACGTTGAAGTGTGGCTCGGCCCAACTACGTTGAAGTGCGGCTCGGCCCACTCTGCATCCTTCTTACGGCTCTCCCCGCTGATCTGTCTCCACGGCTCCCCTAACTTGTCTTGGTGAGCACAGCTCGGCCCACTAACTTCGTAGGGCAGCTCGGCCCATGTTTTGTGGACGGCTTGGCCAATTTGTCTTTCTTCCATACTTAGTCATTTTGAGATGGTTTTATCCGCTTGTGGTGGAAACCGACCCCAACAGTTAGCCCCCCAGCTCGTCAGTTTCGGAGGCGAGAGTGACGAGATCCATTACTCCTGGCCGTAGGATAAACCATCGAGTCAAGCTGTTGCGGCATAAGCCCAGGTGAGGTGTTTAGGAAATAAAGATGCCGAGGCGTCCCCAAAGAGTGCCGAGGATGCCAAGGCGTTCCTAAACCGAGGATGCCGAGGCAATTTAAGGACGAGGCGATTCTGTTTAGTATTGCCGAGCCGTGATTCGAGTTTAACGACGAGGCGTTCTGAGAAGACTATGCCGAGCCGAATAAACGGCGAGGCGTTTTGAGAAGGTTATGCCGAGCCGAATCGTTAACGACGAGGCGTTTCAAGAGAAAGTTAATACCGAGCCGTTTCATTAATGACGAGGCATTTCGAGAGAAAGTTATTGCCGAGCCGTTTTGCTAACGACGAGGCGTTTACCATGGCGAGATATTGGCTGAAAACTCAGGTATCCCAACCGTTGGTCTCCGAAAGAATGTTCCTGATTTATTGGCGCGTGTAACCGATGCAGTTCGAATTAGTTAATACGCTGCGGATCCCACGCGCCGTGGGACGGTTTTCCGAGGTTCACACGGAACTCACGCGCTTCGGTTTTCCTATAAATGGGTGAGCTCCTTCATTCTTCCTCATTATCTTCAGACTTACTCGTTTTCACTAAAAGGTAGCTCTTCCTTCTCTCTTCTTTCTCTCTCTAGTTTGTTTATTTTCCGGCTAGGGGTCCGAGGTCTCCGCCGTTCCAGATCTTTTTCCGGCGGAGGTTCGCCGCGTCGTGCTGTAATTCCTGTATAAGTTGTAAATTATGTCGAGCCGCTCTGACGATTCGCTGGATTCGCTTTTTCATTATGAGCCGAGCCACGTAGATGCCGAGGCGAGAGGTACAACATAATCTTCCGAGGCGTATGCCTCGCCGAGCCCTTCCAATCGTTCACCTGGGAGTGACGAGGCGTCGAATCATACAAATCCGCCAGACGTCGGCTCTCCCGATGACGAGTCGTCGGTTTGGACAAGCCGTCCCCAGGATCCTGCTCCTGACGAAGATATTAACCGTGCCGCAGTCAAAGCCGAGGAGGAGACATTTCCCTTTGATTTACTCGAGGCGAAGCGTGATTAGAACGTCTCATGGCGTCCCGAGGCGCTTCTTCATCTGGGCGGGGGCAGCGAGTAAAAAGACAAAAACCTGACCCGCCCGGTTCTACGCTCTCCTCTTCTGACTCACTCGAGGTGTTGAGGCGTCGCTTCGGGATATCCGAGGTGGTGGAGTTTATCGTTCCAGAGAAGAACGACAGAGCCGACAAGCCTCCCGAGAATCACTTCACTCTGTACAAGGCGTTCTTCGAGCTCTGCTTTCTCTGGTTCCCGATCCCCGGAGTTATCCTTGAATACCTCTGGAAACATTGGATCTCGATCGGGCAGATCATGCCGAGGGGACTGCAGCATATGATCGGCATTTTAGTTCGAATCTTTGAGTGCGGGCTCGATATCGAGCTGAATCACCTGCTGAACTTGCTGGAAATCAGGAAAGCTCCGAAGGGAGATAGATTTTATATTTCCAACAAGTCCAATCGCCGGATTATAGGCGGTTTTCCAAGCAAAGATCAGTTTTGGACTGAACGCTTCTTCTACGTCTTGGTGAACGAGGCGTCGGTCGGCGAGGATTACGTTCGAAGAACCAAGACCACCTGGGGACCACTCGGTAGCCGACCCGAAGCTTTGCCTCGGCTCGGAACTTTTTTTTTTTTTTGCGTCGCTTTGCACTCCGGAACGTTCTTCCCCCGATTCCCGACGACCTCTTTATCGTTCGAGACTCCCTTTCGGCTCGGAAGGTTAACTGGAGGAAGAATTTTACCCTCGAGAGAGTAGAAAAGGCGCGAGCTATTCTTGCCGGAGTCCCTGTCAGCTCTTCATCTTCCAGCTCCTCAAGAGATACACGAGAAAAGATGGTGATAATCGCTCTGAGAGATAGGAAAAGGCGTGAAGAAGAAGAAGCCGCAAGGCGAGCCGCCAAAGTGGCTAGAATAGAGTCTGAAGCGATTCCTCAGACCGATCTGCTGAGCCGTGAAGGTGACGACACGGTTCGGGTCGCAGAGGCAAACATTGCTGAGGCGGCTGAGAAAGAAGCAGCGCCCGAGCTGGAACCGGGCGAAATTATCCCCAAGGCGTCTAAGGACGACTCGGCGGTGCGGAGTGAAACTCCTTCGAACTCCGCGATCCTAGCTCTTCCGAAGTCATCAAGGCCGCCGACTTCGGTTGTACAAAAACACAACCCTAGCCGAAAACGTTCGGCCGCTACAAGGGGAAAGGCATCGCTGCTCAAAAAGACGAGCCGTCGAAAAAGAAGCGCAAGCCGACACCCGGGGATCCTGCTGCGCGCAAACTGGTCATTGACGACCCCGACGCCTTGGCAGTGATGTTCGCGCGTGTTATTAACGCGAACACGCGTCTTCCTCCCCTGGAGAAGCTGAGGAGGCCGAGGTCGTACGGCGCGATGGCGCAGCGCGGTACCAAGGTATATTTCTCCTCTACTTTCGTGAATTCTTACTAAGTGTTTAACGAGGATTATCCTTTGCAGTTTGTTGCGACCATTAACGAGCTAATGGCTGAGTATGAGGCGGATCTGTCTAAGGTCGAACGTCGCTTGGACGAGGCCCGAAATGAGACCGCGGCGTCAAAGGTGAAGCTGGAAGAGGCTCAGAACGAAGCCGCGGCGGCAAAGGGGAAACTAGGCGAGGCGATGGCCAGGGCGTCCAGGCTGGAAGAGGAGAAGATTGTTCTGCGCGTCAATGTTGACAAGGTCTCCGCCTTGGTCATTCGCCTCGAGGAGGCGAGGAGAGCTAAAAGCGCCGAGGTGGCGTTGCTCAAGAGGCGCATCGAAGCCAAGGATGCTTTGTTCGATGCCAAGGTCAAGCGGGCGAAAAAGGAGGTGAGGCGAGAGCTTACGGCTAAGTTTGAGGAACGCCTCGCCAAGGTAGAGGAAGGTTTGGCCAAGCTCGAGAAGGCCAAAAATGATGAGAACGATCTGGGGCAGATCAAGAGCAATCTTGCGATGATTGCCGACCTGAAAAAGCCAGACGCCCCAACGCTTGATGACGAGGAGGCGAAGCTGAAAAGCTGGGAGAGTGAGTATGCCGACGACGAGGCGTACGAGCGTATTGCTTCCGAGATTCGTGGCGAGCTGGTTTTCTCTCTCGTATCGCCGGACTCGGTAGACACCAGCATTGGCAACGAGCCGCTTGAAGAGACAGCGGCCAACCTGAGTGTCGTTGATCCGACCGGATTGAACGCGGGACACCAGCCCTCTCGAACCTCCTTGCCGAGCGCAAGACGCAGTCCGCGGCTTGATACTCTCCGCTTTCTCTCACCCTACGTTGCATAAGATTTTTTTGTACTTAGGTTTTTTGATGATTTACTTTTCGAACTTTTTATGTAGCCGATGCCTGGATGGCTTTATCCACTTGACTCTTATTTTTGCTTATGGATATATTTTCTTTTCCTTAGCCGTTTTTGGATTTGATGTACTTATCTTTAACGATCTGTGAAAATATCTATGAAAACTGTTGGCTTAGAAAAAAAAAAATTGTCAAGGACGAAGACTATTGTGTCGAGAGTGATTTTGATTGCTTCTTTAGCCGAGTTCTTCGAAATCGATAGAAATACGGACTCCTTCGAGTTCATCTGCCCATCGTCCTTTCTTGGCGTCGAGCCTCTTTTTCAGACCGTCGAGGATCGTCTTGTTGGCCGATTCGACTTGCCCGTTCCCTTGAGGGTATCTTGGCGTAGATTTGCTTAGACGGATTTTCGACTTCTCGCAGAAGGCTTCAAAGCGTGTTGAGATGAAGTGGGATCCGTTGTCGGTGACTATCTCGTAGGGGACCCTGTGTCGGCAGATGATATTCTTCCAGACGAAGTGTTCGACTTGAACATCCTTTATGCTTGCGTAGGAATCGGTCTCGACCCACTTGGAGAAGTAATCCGTGAGGACGAGCAGAAAACGCTTCTACTTCGAGCGATGTAGAGGTCCGACGATGTCCATCGACCATCTCATGAACGGATAAGGTGACGAAATTGACAAGAGCAGCTCGGTAGGTTGATGAATTGTTGGAGCGTGCCGTTGCCACTTCTCGCACTTCGCCGTAAATTTTTCGCAATGCTTGACCATGGTAGGCCAGAAGTAACCGTGCCGTTTTATTTTGATAGCGAGCGACCTTCCGCTAGAATGGTTCCCGCACGCGCCGCTGTGCACTTCGCAGTGCATGATCTTTCTTGCTTACGGTCCTTCTACGCATGTCATAAGAGGTCCTGAAAATCTCCATATAAACACCTCGCCATCGACGAGGACATACCGCGCGGCTTGAGCTTTTAATTTGCGGGCTTCCCATTTGTCGGTTGGTGCCTTTCCATCGGCGATATACACTCGGATAGCTCCGAGCCATTCTTTGTCGCAGCTGTACTCCGGCTCGGCTGGTAAGGCGTCTTCGTCCATAGGAATGGCTTCGTCGTCCCCTGGTTCTTGTTTAGGAGGATTTATCAGCCGAACTCCTTCTACTTCTTCGATGCTAGGTCGTTCGATGAATTCGACTGGGATCGTCCGTCGGAGATCTGGGTCTGAGGTCGAAGCGAGTGCTGCCAAGGCGTCGGCCGAGGTGTTTTCTCCTTAGGGAATTCGCGTGAGTTCGAACTCGTCGAACTTTTGCACCAACTCTCGGACCACCTTGAAATAAGCTCCCATTCGTCCGTCCTTCGCCTCATATTCTCCGTTGAACTGGCATGCTACGAGCTGTGAATCACAAAAGGTCCTTATCTTTCGAACCCCGATTCCCTGCGCTAGTCGTATACCGGCGATTAGGGCTTCGTATTCTGCTTCGTTGTTCGAGGCGTGGAAGTTTAGGCGAAACGACTGCTCCAGTATTTCTCCCGTGGGAGAGGTGAGGCGGATCCCTATTCCTGAGTCGTGTTTGGATGACGAGCCGTCGACGTGCAGCGTCCATACTTCATCTAGGGTCGGCTCGTTTGTTGCTTCGGCTGGAAGTTCAATGAGAAAATCTGCGAGCACCTGTGACTTTGCAGACGACCTGTTCCGATACTCGATGTCGTATTCGCTCAACTCTATGGCCCACTTGGCGAGCCGACCGGATTGGCTCGGGCTGTGTAGGATCGAGCGCAGCGGAGGTGTAGCGAGCACAATAATCGAATGTGATTGAAAATACGGACGCAGTTTGCGAGCCGAGACTACGACGGTTAGGGCGACCTTCTCGATCTGGGGGTAGCGGGTCTCGGCATCGGTCAGAGATTGGCTGATGTAGAAAATGGGTTTTTGCTCGGATCGTTCTTCTCTGATACGCACTCCGCTCACAGCTGTGGCAGACACGGCGATGTAGAGGAAGAGCGGCTCTCCTTCGACTGGTTTTGCTAAGATCGGTGGGCTTGCCAGATAATTCTTTAACTCTTGGAAAGCTGCTTCGCATCTCTCGTCCCACTCGAATTTCTTGTTTCCTCAGAGGGTGTCGTAGAAGGGCAAGCACTTATCAGTGGAAACGGGAAATAAACCTGTTTAGCGCGGCGACTCTTCCTGTAAGCCTTTGCACTTCGCGCTTCGTCCTTGGAGAGGGCATCTCAATTAATGCCCTGATCTACTTGGGTTTTGCTTCTATGCCTCGTTGAGTTACCAGAGAGCCGAGGAATTCTCCCGAGGTGACCGCAAATCTGCACTTCGCCGGGTTTAGTTTCATGTTGTGCTTGTTCAATCGCTCGAAGCATTCCCGTAGATGCGCAACGTGGTCTTCCTCCTTGAAGGATTTGACCAACATGTCATCGATGTATACTTCCATGGTTTTTCCGAGCTGAGCCGCGAACATTTTATTGACGAGCCGTTGATATGTTGCTCCTACGTTCTTGAGCCCGAACGGCATGATTTTGTAGCAGTATATCCCGCGATCGGTTATGAATGCCGTTTTTTCCCGATCATCAGGATGCATCAGGATCTGATTGTACCAGAGAACGCGTCCATAAATGTTAACAGTCTATTTCCTGCAGTGGCTTCGACGAGCCGGTTGATGTGCGGCAAGGAAAAGCTGTCTTTTGGGCACGCCTTGTTGAGGTCAGTGAAATCTACACAGACCCGCCACTTGCCGTTCTTCTTCTTCACGAACACCGGGTGCGAGGCAGTCTGGGTATTTGGCCTCGGCGATTGATCCTACTTTGAGTAACCTCTCGACTTCGTCGTTAACTGATAGATAAGACTTTTTAGGGTCTCAGGGCTATCAATCCCCTTGTCAAAGTAGCACAAAGAGGTTAATCAATCCAAGAATGTGGTGATAGACACTAAGCTATATGATCAAGTTCTTAATTCAAGCAAAAAAGATTGGGTTTTGGTTAACTAATGACAACTAACAAACTTAAACAGGTTTAAAGACTAATGACAATGACTAATCAAGAACTAAGCAATGACAAAGGATGTGAATATGATATGATGGAGGCATGAGATTCTAGACATGATAGTTGGTTAGGGTGCTTTGGTGCTAGACTAGAAATGTTAATGACAATGATGAGACATGATTCAAATGATTAAGAACTCAAATCTAGGTTAATCCTCTCATGAAGGTATTAACCCCTATACTAATCCATTTTCAAACCAAATTCCCATTTGTGAAACATGAATCAATATGCATTAACAAACAGCTCTTAATGATCATTCAAGCATTTAACAAATCATTTCCATGATGAAAAATTACTTAAACCTCTAACACAACTCTTTCAGGAATTTCATCAAACACTTTTGGTGCATGAAATTCCCAGAATCTAGATCTCAAGTGATTATCAAGGATCTAGCATAGAGAACAGCTGTTTAGAGAGATGAATCAATGAATCTAGCCCTAAGCACTCCTAATCTAACACTTTAGCACCCTAACCTACACATCTAGAACCTCATTAGGGTGACTACTCACTAATCATACTAATCTCTCTTAAACCTTTGCAAGTTGAGTAGATTAGCATGATTAATGATGAGAAATGGAGATGGAGATGATAGATTCAAAAGAAAACAGCTTTAAACACCCAGATCTCTTTAAACTCTCTTGATTAAACACTTAAATAAAGATATTTCTCTTCTTAATGGAGTCTTTTCACCAAAGAGGCAAGAGACAAAGGGAATAAAACTTAATTCTCTCCCAAAAAACCCTAAAAAGTATTTATACTTCCTTAAAAACGAACCGGGTCAGCCCGGAACAAACCGGATCCTGACCCGGCTTTAATGGATAAAGTGGGAATTACTGCGGGTCGGTCCAGTATGTCCCAGGTCGCACACCTAAGTCGCAGTAGATGAAGACTTGTCTTGTAAAGCCTGAATCGCCCTGTCTTAGCCGCACGCCTAAGTAGGAGTGTTTTGCGAGTGTTGCTGCGGCTTGGTCTCCTTCCTCTCCAACTCGCAGGGCTAAGGCGGTTTCTGGGGAATGTACAAACTGTGCGGGTTGGTCTCTATTGCACCCAGGTCGCAGGCTCAAGTCGGAGTGATTTGCGAGTGATCGTGCGGCATAGTTCCAGGCGCGGCTAACTCGCATGCCTAAGTCGCACGATTGTGGACTTAGCATTTCTCTTGCTCTTGAGCTTCAGACCTCTTCCAGTGATAGTTTACCCGCACATATCAACTCGCAGCATCAGCATTCAGGCGTTCATCTTCAGGCCTGCGGGTTAACCAAGTCGCAAGACCATCTCGCAGCATCCAGAGCAGCTTAGACCACTTCGCATTCCGGAGAGTGTAACTCCTATGAGACTTGTCCGAATTGAATGATTTCGGTTGCAGAAGACAGAGGACTCATTTATCTCCAACTTTGGTGAAGGAAGCTTCGGTGCTTGGGAAGTGTAAGGCTTCCTGGAGGGCACATCTTTGTAGTGCATGTACGCGACCAGAGAGAGGCGTCTAGACATGTGTCCATTCCGGAGAACGTATCTTTCTGCTCATAGATCCGCATTGAATGATCTTGGACGTTCTGGAAAGAAGACTCAAATTTATCTGGTTCTCATGAAGGACCCGGAAACTAAATCGGCCTGGAAGTGCACCGTCCTTCGCATCCTTTAGGACTGATCTGCTCGGTCCGGAATACCTGCGAGACTGGGGTTCCTTCCGACAAGCTTATCTCTCTGCTCACGCGTCCGAATTCCACGATTCCACTTGCTAAGAGACCGTGATGCAATGCTCTCCAACTTCTATGAAGCACCCGCCGTATGAATCGGACCGGAAGGCTCCCCGGACAGGCGATTTCTGAGACACGTTCATACCCGGGGATTTTGGCCGATACACTTCATTCGCGGTACATGAAAATGGCCCGTAAAGCTTCCCGCGGTACATGAAAATGGCCGGTAAAACCTTCCTGGCCAGCGAGAATGGCCGATAATCTCCCAGGACCCAATTTTTCCACTTTTTCAAGCTTTGCTCACCATTCCACCTCCTGGATTCATCTTTTCAGCTCCACATTCACCTGATAGACACTCAAAACATGCAATAGACTGATTGGGACCTAATGCATCTCCTAAGTTCTAAAACAAACCCTAAGGACCTAAAATGCATGAAATAAAACATGATTTGGAATGATTTATGCAACCTAAATGATGCAAATTATGAACATATCATTAACCGCTTTAGCTCGTTCGGGGCCGAGCTTCCTTCTTTTCTGCTTGACTGGTTTAAAGGTCGGGTCTACATTCAGCTCGTGACAGGTCACGTCGATGCTTATCTTTCGCTGTCCAGGCAAAGATGATAGGTGGAGGGTACCGCCCTCATCCCGTTGATCCATGGAGTTCCCATAATGACATTGTAGATTGCCGGGTGATTGGTAACACAGAATTCAACGATCTTAGTGACTCCGCCAGCTACCACGGGGAGCCTGATCGTTCTCATAGTCATCGTCGTTTCTCCTGAAAATCCGGTTAGAGGTTTTGGGATTGCTTCCACTTCGGAGAGGTCGATCCCCATCCTTCTGAGTGTCTCCCTGAAGATGACATTCACCGAGCTTCCAGTATCGATGAGCACACTCGCTACGTCATGATCCCTGATTGTTAGCTCAATCACCAACAGATCGTTGTGGGGTCTATCGATTCCTGCCGTTTCCTCCTCGGCGAGGGAGATCACTGTATTTGGGATGTCGGTTGGTTATGTCCAATTTTCCTTCGCTTTGGCTCGGCGCTGATAGGCTTTGATGGAGGACACGGTATCTTGGTAGTATTGAGATCCACCCATGATCATATTGATCCTTTACCTCGGCTCGGGTCGCTCTTCAGGTTCACCTCTCTTGTCACGCTTGGAGTTATCGCCTCGTCGGGGAGGATTCGCGGGTTCAGCCGCGCTGCTCGGCTCGGCTCTTTCTTGTGGTTCATTAGGGACGAGATCTTTGAGGTTGACCGCGTTTGGAGCTCTCCCGCTGCCATATTAGCTGCGAGTTTTGCTCATAAAGTTCAGCATTGTGCCGTTGAGTGCCCGTGGGTCTGGTGATACTCGCAGAAAGCCTTTTCGTCGTAGTTGGCGGACTTTCTCACCCAAGTGTTGTTGCGCGGCTCTCCTCTTCCGCGTCCGGTGCCTACCTGGTAGTTATGGGCACCTCCGCTTCTAGGTTCGTCCGAGCTCTGCGTTGTTGTGTTGTTCGATGGGTTGCCTTTCTTCGCAGGGCGCGGAAAAATTGAGCTTCAGATTGCTGCTTTCGTTGCTTCGTACTGCTCGTCTAAATTCTTCATTTCCTCCTCGTTTACAACAAAGTCCGATGATCGGTGTAAAGCGTCTTGAATTGTTTGTGGCGTGTTGAGTGCCATCTCCCGTCGGAACTTGGATTTGGTACTTTGTACCACAAAGATCGTTTCAGAGCTTCGAGCGCGGCCTTGTCACTTATCCCTTCTATTTTGGACACGACTGCCTTAAATCTTGCCATGTAATCTCGAAGTGGTTCGTTTGGTCCTTGGGATAGTGTCCACAGGTCGGCATCAGATGTTCCTCTATCCATAAACATCGAGTATTGTTTAAGGAACAAGGCGGAGAGCTGTTGAAAACTGCCTATTGAATTGCATTCCTGTCTTGAAAACCACTCGAGTGCGGCACCCTTAAGATGCTCCACGAAGATCAGGCAGTTCAAGCATCTACTTCCCGCTCAGTCAGTTAGGCGGCGTTCTTTGTGAAGGCTCTTTCTATCCAAAACGCTGTGATGTGTGCTTTCGGGTCGGTTGTTCCTTCGTAGAACAGGATTCTCACATTCTCCGGCTCGGGAATCCTGGCCTCCGTGATTCTTGCAGTGAATGGAGTTCTCTGAGTTTCTTCAAGCATTCGGTCGATTTCGGGTGCGGCGCTTGTTGCGTTGTGCACTTGGGACTTCATGGCGCGTATTTCAGCTACTGTCCGAGCCATTGAGGCTCGCAGCTCTTTGAGTTCGAGAGTTTGTGCGTGAGTCATTCCCTTTGATTAAGGGGGTCGCTCCCGCTCTTCTCTCCTCGGCTCGTCTTCGCGCTCTGCCTGCTCTATCCATTGGAGGTTTTCTTCCTCCTCGGTTGGGTTGTCGCCGCGAGTCGGATCGGAGACTTCGTCAGTTCGAACGCCGTTTAGTGCCGAGGCGAGCTCTTCTTGACTTATTCGCCAAGCCAAGCCGGTTTGTTGCGGATTCGTGGTTCCGTCGTTCTGCTGGGCGTCCACGTCGATCACATCATTCTCTTCCTCGCCGGCTCGTCGCCTTGAGTTTCGGCGGAGTGGAGGTGGCTCGGTCATGTTGACTCGTGTTGCCGCGGGAGTCTGTTCGTCGAGGGGACGAAACATTGGAGGAGCCGAGGGGTTTCTTGCGCCGCTCCCTGAGGCTTCTGCAGGTGTTGAGAAGTCGAAGCGTCTCCGGATTCCATCCATCGGGTCGCGAATTTTGGCTCTCCAAGTTTGGTGTTGTCGCTCAGCCGCCATCGCGTCGAGCCTCTTCGTAATCACCTCGTTTCTTTTGTCCTGCTCGTAGATTTTCTTCATCAGCGCAGCCATCATGTTTCGCATCTCCTCTTGGGTTTCGGTTGTCGCCGTCGTTGTGCCTGATGCTGGAGCGTCCTTCTCCGCGCCGTTATCGTTGTTGTTGTTGTTGTTGTTGTTGTTGTTATCGTCGGGGGTGTTGCTCGCCATGTTCTTCGGATCTTAAAGTCTTGTCGATTTAGAGTAAGAAAGTTTCGAGTCCCCTCAGACGGCGCCAAATTGTGTGAGCCAAAACCTGCACAACCAAAAATTTGTTAAGGAAAACTTAAGGGATCGGAAACTTCTAGGGTTTATCGCAAGAACAGTAAGATCGAAAGAAAGTTTTTATTGCTGAGAAAGTGTTTTTCTTTTATTGCTTAGGGTTGCAAGAGTTACATAATGAATCGTAAGAATCTCTTATTTATACTAACTTCTTAAACCGCCTCTCCGAGAATCTCGGGAGAGATTTTAAGCATATTTCCTTATCGTTTCGTGCGACCACCATCATAATACTTCGCCTAGGACTTCTGTGGGCTTTTGACTTCCAAAGCCTTGGTTCGGCCCATCTTGGAAAACCGGCTCGGCCCAACACCTAGGGAAACGATTTGGCCCATGCCTCTTCTTGCGCTGCTAAGCCCGCTCGTCGTTCTTCTCACAGCTCGGCCCATCTAACCTTCTCCACGGCTCGGCCCATTTGCCACTCGAGTTGAGATATGACTTGGTCCACCTCGCCGAGGCGCGGCTCGGCCCAAGCGTATTGAAGCGCATCTTGGTCTAGCTTACCGAGGCGCGGCTCGGCCTAACTACGTTGAAGTGCGGCTCGGCCCACTCTGCGTCCTTCTTACAGCTCTCCTCGCTGATCTGTCTCCACGGCTCCCCCAACTTGTCTTGGTGAGCACAGCTCGGCCCACTAACTTTGTACGGCAGCTCGGCCCATGTTTTGTGGACGGCTCGGCCAATTTGTCTTTCTTCCATACTTAGTCATTTTGAGATAGTTTTATCCGCTTGGGGTGGAAACCGACCCCAACAGGCTTCATAGAATGATTATATTGGGCCTTGTTGGAAACCTTGTACCTTGTTCCTCAGCTGGTTCGATCTTGACTTGGTGTAGAAGTGGTTCAGGAAAGCTGACTTGCATTCTTCCCATGAAGTAATAGAACCAGATGGCATAGATTTTAACCATCTAAAAGCTTTATCACTTAGAGAGAAAGGAAAAAGTTTACACTTCACATAGTCCACAGTTTCTGGAGGTATTCTCACCATTCCAGAGATTTCTTCAAAGATATCAATGTGGTCCATTGGATTAGAGATTCCATGGAATTGATTCTGCTTCACCAATGAGACAATCTTAGGTTTTATCTCATGATCTCTTCTTGGAACAGGAATTTGAATAGCTGATCGATTTTGGAAGTGTTGGTGAGGTGCATCGAAATCGGCAATGAGTCTATTCTGATGCTGTTTTCTCGCAGGATTGGCAAGCTGTATGGGTCGATCGGCTTCTCTACCATTAGGTGGAACAATGTTTTCATCATTCCTTCTTTCTTCAGGTTCGACTTGGTCTTGTCTCCTTCGGTTATCAGCGGCTTGAGCATCATTCAGAGGGACACGGTTTCCCTCTTCATCGAGTTGTGGCTGGCCATCTTCTTCATGGGCAGCATCTAGGTCATCACTATGAATAGAATCACGGTCATCATCTCCAATGTGATCCTCCGGATCACGGTTTAAAAGATCTTCCCGATGGACATTCAGATTGGCCATCTTGAGCGTTCTTCGTCTGAGTTTTCTAAGTGCTCTTTCGTGTTTGTCAATCTCGTCTAAGGGCAGTACAATGTTGTCAGAATTTCTCCTAAATTTCATGCACCTGTGAGCAAAGAAAGCAAAGATAAAAAGAGGAGTCAGAAAATCTCCAGCAGAACTCGAAAATCTTGAGGTTTAGGATTGAAATTAGATTAAGAAATCAAGTCAACAGCGATAAATCCCCGACAACGGTGCCAAAAACTTGAAGTGGGTGCAGTGGGCAACACAAGTTTTACCCTAGACAAGCTGCAAGTGCACAGCAAACGCAGTAGTACTTAGGGATTGAATCCACAGGGATTTGTGTGTTGAGGACTTCTAACTGATGCTAAAAACAATCGTAAACCTAATCTAATAAAAAGGGATTTTGGTTTGTCACTAAATCTAATTATGCAGAGAATTAAAAACTGAAAATAAAAATCGGTTGAAAACTATATGAAAAACGGCGCTGGGTTCAAGGTTCATCTTTAGGGTTCATGTTCTAAAACACAAAGGAAATTAGGCAAGGATTTTCGATGACTCTGAAACTTGGAAAGACACATGTAAGATTAGCCAACTCTCGTCACCCTAATCATCTAACCACTCATTCATGGCAATAAACTCTCGCTCTCATGCCAGAACAAGATCATATAGTGTTAAGAATAATAAAAATAAACAAGAAGTTTTACTACAGAGAAGTTGAATAACCCAACAATGATCTGGAATTTATACATTTTTAGTGTTTTATATACTTGCAGAAATATTTATTTGCAGCAAATAAAGATACAAGTATATCCGCAAAATAAGTTGTTTATAGTTGTAGCTAAAAACTGAAATAGTTAGGAGGTGTGAATGGTAAAAACTTATTATAAGGATTATTTAAGCTACAACTATAAACAACTCATTTTGTATATAATTGTTTTTTTATTTGCCGCAACTATAAAAATAGTATTTAAGAAGAAATATAAGGAAAATATAAGAGGAAAAAAAAGTTATTATAAAAGGAAATAAATCCAAATTATTACTTTGTATATCATTTGTATGTTTCTTATTTTTATCAGATTTCAAATTAATGTATAGTTGAAATTTTTTGTTCTTAACATGGTTTTTTTTCTATTAGTTTTTAAAGGGGGAGAAATTTCTTTTTATATATATATATATATAGACTTTCTGAAAAAAGATGTCTCTAAAAAAATATGAATAGCAAAATAAATATGGAACCAAAAATCTCTCATTATAATAGAAAAACTTACCAATAAATTTTCGGTTTAGATTCTTTAATAGGTTTTGATATTTGCATAAAAATGATTAAGTAAAAAGGGTTTTACAAGCTTTTAGGATTAACATAAATCCAAATGTTTGAATAGAATTTTGTTTTTGTTAAAGGTGAATAGAATTTTCAAAAAGAAAAAATTATTTATTGTAGGAAACCCAAATATTTCAAAACTTGATTAGATGAAACCAATTCTCCCATGATTAAATGACTTTATCATAAAAAACAACCAAACACTTTTCAAAAATCTACACCAGTTTAAGAACTTACGGATATTACAGTTGATTAGATGCAAGATTAAGAGCAAATCACATCAATATTATAATAAATTGCTCGAATTTAATTATTGTATACCATTGTACATTAAAGGAAAAGCATTATTACATAAAAAGCAAATTAAGTAAGAAATATGTTTTT